GATGATGCCAAAACCTACACTCTTACTACAAGGCTGAAGGATACCCTTTAAAGGAAATTTTATTACAAAACAGCCCTATAGATGAGTTTACTTGAAGTTCTATAAAACTTACTTATTTTAAAGACAAGAGTACTCAATAAATGTGCAAAAACAGACTTTCATTTATAAAGAGCAAATTACAAATCAAAGAGTACTGAAATTAAATGGATCATTACATGTTCAAAAGATTCAGTTTCACCTATTGTGCTTCCATCCTTTCACCTGTTGTGCTTACATGTTCAAAAGATTTAGTTTCACCTATTGTGCTTCCATCCTTTCTTTATCATCACGTTCATTTTGCTTCTTGAGCATGTTGTCGAAGTCTAGTTCGTTGTTGATTGAGTCTCTAACGTCTCGGAGTGGTCTTTCTCGAACTAAATCTTCATATTTTTCTCCAAAATTGTAGCTCATGTAGTTCTTGTAAGCCTCTAGAATGTTTCGTCTTGGTGCAATGCCACAGTTCCACCAAGTCACGAGCTCTATGGAGTTCATTCCTTCTACATAGCTCTTTCCAGATTCTCTGTGTATTTTGAACACGACATCGTATTTGATACTTGTATATGCATCATTTTCAATTTTCGAAACATCTTTTATCCTTTCTTGTGTTTCTTGATAACGAGTAAGCTCTCATTCTCTCAAGTTTCTGGTTTCTTCGTGTTCAAGACAAAGGGCTTCATTTTCACTTCTTATCTTCTCATTTTCTCTCCTTTGATAATCTTGCGGTGTTTTGTTGTCTTTCTTCTTGAGTCAAATTGGAAAGTTACAACCTTCGAATCTTTTGCCGCTTCCTCTCTCGTATTCTTTGAACTGGACGAATGTTCCAAATCCATCCATTGTCACATTGTTGTCCCTCATTAGCCTATTTCGAAGATTCATCTTGTCTCTGTGAGATCGTCCTGCAAATGAGTAAATGGATTTGGAGCCATGGGATGGACGAGGTCTTATGGGTTGTCGACGAGACTTGGAAGGTGCTTCTTATCGAGACTTTGAAGGTGTTTCTTGACGAGACTTTGATGGAGGAGGTGTCTTGTATCTATTGTCCTGTCTGTTGTCGAAAGTTCCCTCTCCTCTTCTTTCATCTTCATCATCGTCATCTTTCTTATATCTCTTTTCCCCCTTTTTGGCATCATCAGTAGGAGGATCAGAGAGCTTCAGGAGCTTGTGAACTTTGACAGAGAGAACTCTGATATAATTCAAAATCTGAAGTTGATAGTCAGCCATTGTAAAGAGGTTATTGTTTGATGTATCAATCTTCGAACAAGTGAGGCCAACTCTTTCCTTGAGACCAAATTGTGAAAGCTTGATCGAATGTTGTTCCTTGGCAATTTTGTCAAGCATCTCATTTTGGTGACTGAGATCAGGAAGTTGTTGATCCTTTTGTTGGTCCTTTTTCATGGAAGACAATTGTGCCGAAATGAGGGCCGATTGTGAAGACAGGTGCTCCATCACTTCAGCATCTTGCTGACGTTGCTCATTGTATCGCTGATGTTGTTGTTTGAGCGCAGTAACTGTGTTCGCGAGAAGAGTTAGGAACATTTCAGCATCAATGTATTCTTCATGGACATCAGTTTGAATTCCTTGCTCCCTTCGACCAGAGTCGTCATGTCTCGCACTCGGTAATGCTTCTGGTTTGTCATCAGGAGCTGATCTCGGAGTCCAGTCGTTTCAACCACGTGGTGGAGAGTATTGATCAGTAGGAGGAATCATCACTGTTTTTCCAATGATGGGAGATCCTTCGGTGTCATCATCATTATCATCATCAGAATCCGCGTCACTATCATCATCATCTTGATAAGCTTGAGGTGCTCCTGTCCTTAAGTAGCCATCTTGACTGATCACAGGTTATGTATTTGAGGGAATCGTAGTCAATTATGACGACTTCCATGACTATAAAATTCCTCAATGCATTTAATTTTCGTTTCGGAATTTTAAATGCTCTTTCTCATCAATGTTCCCCTTAATTCAATATGTCATTATGAATTTAGACCATACGAACGTTTGTAGTGAATGTAGAAATCTTTCGTTGGTCAACATTGATATCATGACATAGGCGAAAGCAATATGAGATCACGTGATTAAAATAAGACAACCAGAAAGGACAATGATTCATTACATTTGCAAGAAAGGAAATGATAACATGCCAAAGGGGATTGCAAGAACTTAATCTATCTTTTTCTTGCTGCTGGTAGTAGACCTAAGAGAGGTAGATAAAGCGGGTGGAGTGTTTGATGGTGAATAGTCGAAACTATCACTTCTTTCGAGCACGCACTTCACGTCCTTGTACTCGTCTAACTCACTGAGAGTGAGAGAGGACACTCGAGACTCTACTTCAGTAGGTGGACGGATTTGAACATGTGAATAGGATACCAGCGAAACGTAGCTGGTGGTCCTGTGTCTGATTTGCTACATGCTTTCTTGATCAACATGATTCTCTCATTTGCAAAATTTCGGGCATGTTCAAGATAGTATTTGTAACACCCCATGTTACGGATCCTAAAACCAACTGATTAATTAATTAATTAATTAATAACCCAGGAGAAAGAATAAATTATAATGGTTTATTAGGGAAAAAGGCCACCATAGCCCATGGGCCCAATTATATAAACCCAACCCCTAAACCCAATAGGAATAAACTCTAAATAAACCCTTGGATCTATAAATAGGGAACTTAGGGAGCACCTAGAACCCCCTCCGACACGCCTAGACGCCCCATCACCCCAGGAGAGCTCCAAGAATTCCCTTAGAAGAAATCAAGAAAGCAAGAAAGCTTAAAGAAAGATCCTTCATAGCCAAGGAATTAATTAAGGCTAAGAGGTAACCCATGTCTCAACAAAACCTATTTTCATAGCTATGATTCCCCTCTTAGGATTTCCCCTTATTATTGTGTATTGATGATTTGTGATATTATTATTGATGATTGGTGGGATGATTTCCATGGGTGATCTTGATGATGAAAGGTTCTTGATAATTATGATGTTCTTGATGATTAATTGGGGTTTTGATGATTATGTGTTGTTCTTGATGATTATGATGTTTTTGATGATTAATTGGTATTCTTGATGATTATGTGTTGCTCCTACCGAATCTTGCAATTAGAAGACGAATTGTATTCTTGTTGATATAAAAGTGATTAGAACCCTAGGTTGTATCGTATGATATTATTCTTGGATTATCGGGTGGGGAAATCGCATGTTTGGGTGTTGATTATGATTAGAGAAGCATGATAGGTTATGTGCCGTTCATTTATCGTATTTGATCCGTTAATTGTCTATGTGTTGTCGTTAATTACGTTGAAAAGTGTCTAAGCATGGTTTCGGGTTCCACAATGGTTCCCGGGACGAAAAGTGGTGAAAAGAGTCAGTGGGGGGTAGGTGGGTGGGTAGGGGACCCACCACCTACCCGCGGCAATTCGGGCAGCTCCGGCAGCGGGCAGCCGGCGGGCGGGCAGCTGCCCGCCGGGCACCCGCTGCCCGGACCAGTGATGGCTGGCGGGCAGCCGGCGGGTGGGCCCCCCACCCACCGGCTACCCGCTGGAATCTTCCCTCCTTCGGGACCCCGGCTTCCCCGTTTGATGTTTCCCCGATCCCCGTGGTGTCCCAACGGACCCCGTTTGTCGTGCCTATGTCTAGTTGGTATTGCGGGTAACGTTCGTAGGTTTATGAGTCGATTATATTGCATGCTAGTTGAATTGGTATCCCGTTGACCTAGGTGGAAGAAGTATGAACCCCTTAGGACTATTCTTAGTTGGTGATGGTTCACGCATAGGTTTATTCATACGTTTATTCCCCTTCCCAACGTGTAATGTGGGTTGTATGTGCTTGCTATGTGTTATGTGTGCATGTTGCCCCAATTCGGTTGCGATCGGATTGGTTATTCCTGAGCTGCGGTTCAGAAGCCGGCTACAGTCAGATGGGAATTCCTGGCTGCAGTCGGATGACGGTATCCTGGGCGGCGGTCCAGAAGCTGGTTGTAGTCAGATGGGAATTCCTGGCTGCAATCAGATGACATTTTCCCGAGCTGCGGTTCGGAGGCTGGCTGTAGTCAGATGGGAATTCCTGGCTACAGTCAGAGTACACATTCTTATGAGCTTCGGTTCATCGGTCGGTTGCGATCGACCCCTCCGTGTTGCGATACGGGGCAGGGTGCTGCGGGGCCGTGTCAGAGCTATATGCGCTGACCCTCATGTATGGGCATGCGATTGGTCCTGTGGCGCCAACAAAGTGTGTTATGTGTTGTGACATGGACGATCTGTGATTACGAGTGTCTTGGGGGATGTGACTATGGGGTTTATATTGGGGATTGTTCATATTGGGTTATGATCATTGTTTATGCTTTGCCTTATCTGCCTTATCTGTTGTGAACTGCATATGCTCGTTATAACTGTTGCTTGTGTCTGACCTTATCTGTCGAGTCATTCCCGGTTTTAAAGCTAGAGTTCGTATGATATATCTTCATGCTCAAAATGGTTTTCGTATATCTATATATATCTCTATATGTATTGTATTTCAACGCGTTGGAGTGGGTTACCAGCATCTCTCGCTGAACAGATATATTTGGCTTTCAGGCATAGAAGAATAAGTCACTGGAGAGCGCTAGTACTCGGAACGTAGAAGTAGTTAGTCCCCTTTCGGCCTGCGTGCCATATTATGCATTTACATTATTGAGGATATTAGTTAGTTAGCCTGTGCACCTGGGTTCTCCAGCTCAGGTGTGGCATAGCACCCCGTACACTTGTATTATGTTTTGGGATTTAATGAGATAATACCTTTATTTTATAAGTTTAAAATGTCTTGAAAATCTGGGGTGTTACAGTATTCCTGTTTGGCTCGTGAATCTTCAAGGATTTTGTCCATTGCGTTCTTTTGCTCAGCTATTTCAGATGGAGAGAGTGTGATCTCCACCTTGTCGGAGTGCTCCCTGATTTTGATGACTTTTTCATTCGTCATCTTTCGTGCTTCCTTCTAGTATTGCTCCCTTCGAGCAGCACGCCTTTCGGACTCTTCATCCATCTTCTCCTTTCTTTTCCCTTGACTCATACCTACAATAAAAAATACTAAAGACAACTGGAATTTTTGTGAGAGATTAGTGGAAAAAGGCGTTATTTTGCGTGAAGATATCTCTAAGATATTTTCTTTCTTTTTTCAAGATATTTTCCTTTTCTGCATTTATTCTCTTCAAGATTTTCTTTTGAAATCTTTTTAGGAATCTTCTGCGCATGTTCCAGTGCATTCTAATTCGATCTTTCAATTAAATCATTTCGATCATTCCAAGTTCATGTTGTAGGGATGAGAACCTATTCCCATTTAACGGCTTTGTGAGAATATCTGCCAACTGATCATCAGTATTGATATATTTGGGCAAACTGTTCTTCTTTTCAACATGATCTCTAATGAAATGTTATTTAATATCAATGTGCTTAGTTCGAGAATGTAGCACTGGATTATGTGTTACGGCAATAGCACTCGTATTATCACAGTTGATTCGAACTTCTCGTGCCACAATTCCATAATCTTTCAGTTGTTGCATCATCCATAGTATTTGTGCACAACAACTTTCAGCTGCTATGTACTCAGCTTCAACAGTATTGGTAGCAATAGAATTTTTTTTCTTACTAAACCATGACACGAGTCTTCCCGCTAGGAACTGGCAGGTTCCAGAGGTACTCTTTCGGTCAATTATACACCCAGCAAAATCTGCGTCTGAATAACCAATTAGATCAAAGGTTCCTCCTTTCGGGTACCAAAGACCAACACTTTGGGTTCCCTTGAGGTATCTTAGGATCTTTTTCGCTGCTCTTAGGTGGATTTCTTTCGGTTTGTCTTGAAATCTTGCACATACCCCAACAGCGGAAGAAATGTCAGGACTACTCGCTGTAAGGTATAAGAGTGATCCAATGATCCCTCTATATTTTTTTTGATCCACATCTTTTCCTTCATTGTCAATTTCCATATTCAAAGATGTGTTAATTGGAATTTTGACAGGTGCCTTTCCCTTGATTCCAAACTTTCGGATTAAATCTTTCGTGTATTTTGCCTGATTGATGAAAATTCCATCAGGGCATTGTTTAACTTGTAACCCAAGAAAGTAATTCAGGTCTCCAATCATGCTCATTTCAAATTTTCCTTGCATGAGTTTTGAGAACTTATCACATAGTTCTAGATTTATACATCCGAAGATAAAATCATCAATGTATATTTGCACAAGTACGATATGATCATTATCTTTGATACGAAAGAGGGCTTAATCCACCACTCCATTCGTGAAGCCACAGTTGATAAGAAAATATGATAGAGTTTCATACGAAGCACGTGGTGCTTGTTTTTGGCCATATAATGCTTTCTTTAAGTGATATACTTTATCACTATCAGTGTTAGTTATGAATCTTGGAGTTTGTTCCACATCGACTTCTTCTTCAAGGAGTCCATTTAGAAACGCACTCTTTACATCCATTTGAAACTCTTTGAAGTTCTTATGGGCAGGCGAGGAATATTCGGATTGCTTCAAGTCTGACAACCGGAGCCAATGTTTCATCAAAATCTATGCCTTCTTCTTGGCAGTATCCTTTGGCTACTAGCCGAGCTTTGTTCCTGACAATTACTCCACCTTCACTCATTTTGTTTCTGAAAACCCACTTGGTTCCAATAACATTCTGATGAGTTGGTCTGGGAACAAGTTCCCAAACATTGTTTCATTCAAACTGATGAAGTTCTTCTTGCATGGCTGTGACCCAATCTGGATCTTAAGGCATCATCAATAGATTTTGGCTCTATTAGTGATAGAAAACATGCCATCATACTTTCATGCACGGAGGCACGAGTCCTCACTCTTTCTTGAATATTGCCAATTACTTGGTCAGGCGGATGATCTCTCAACCACCGTAGATCTGGTTTGAAAGGTGTTGGTTGATTTTGTGTATCCATCTCAGGTATGTAGGGTAGTTCAACATAGATCATTGGTTCAGGTTGAGCTTGGGGTGTAGGTGGAACTTCTCCATTAGTAGCTTCAATCTCAACTTGTGCTTCGGGTTCAATAATGGATTGAGATTGACACCTTTGATATGAGGTGTAAAGATCTTCAAGATCAGAATCTTCTTCCCTTGCTTAACTCGGTTTAGCTTGTATGCTTAGATTTTTTAGAGAGAGGGTCTTTTCAGCACTTTCGTCAAATTTGACGTGAATGGATTCCTCAATGACCATAGTTCTTTTGTTTAGAACCCTAAATGCTTTGCTTACTGAGGAATATCCCATGAATAGACCTTCATCAGCTCTTTCATCAAAAGCTCTCAAGTGATTCTTCCCGTTGTTGTGAATGAAGCACCTGCATCCAACGATGTGAAAATAACTAACAACAGGTATCTTACCTTTCCATAATTCATATGGCGTCATATTATGAGCTTTGTTGATGAGAGTTCGATTCTGAGTGTAGCAGGCGGTATTGATGGCTTCGGCCCAGAAGCGTTTTGGCAATCCAGAATGTGCTATCATGGTTCGTGCCGCTTCCTTCAAGGTTCTGTTTCTTCTTTCGGCTACTCCGTTTTGTTGAGGAGTACGTGCGGCCGAAAGTTGATGAAAAATGACAGTTTGTCCACAGAAGTCCTTGATGATTTTGTTCACGAACTCTGACCCTTGATCTGACTTGATTCTTACTATATTGAGATCCTTTTCAGTTTGTAATTGCCTTAGTATATCTGGTAATACTTTCTCAGTTTCATTCTTCTTTCTTAGAAATTGTGTCCAGGATAAACAAGCCAATCTTCTTCAGATGATCCACTCCATCTGTTACCCGTCATTGGTCTTCTAAGTGACCTCTTGGCATGTCTGTTTTGTTCATCTTTCAGATTTTCTCGTAAAGGATCCTTTCGTGGATACTTAGAATGATTTTGCCTCTAATTTACATTTGATTTTGCCTTTGTTTGGTTATTCCTTAAGGCGAAAGAATATGTATGTTTTTGATTGGAGCACAAGCAAGGATTCAGTATGCTTAATGGCCAGAAATTCGAATGAAGCAAATTGGGAATGACACAGAAAGCTTAACCATTTAAACTTCAAGACTATCAATCAGCTTGCAAAGAAAAATCTAGTTGAAGGTCTACCAAGTATTATCTTCAAGAAGGACCAAGTGTGTGATGCATGCCAACGCAGAAAGCAAATCAAATTTTCATTCAAGTCTAAGACGCACGAATCAACGTCAAGACCACTAAGCTTACTACACATGGACTTATTTGGACCCGTTGATCCAATAAGTGTAAGTGGTAAGAAATATACTCTTGTTGTTGTTGATGATTTTTCCAGGTACACTTCGACCGTGTTTCTCAAGAAGAAAAATGAAGTTGAACAAGTGTTGCCGAAGCTGTTGATGTGACACCCCAAAAATCCACATTTCAATCCATGGATTAATTGAGTAATTAATCCTATTTTATTTGAGGAACTAATTCCTAAAATCCTGATTTTTAATACTCAAGGACTAGAATTTGACTAGTCAACCTTTAAGTTGTGTTGTACCTTGTGCTTTGAGGGGAGTTCCCTTGTTCCTTACACTTTCTAAGGGTTAGTAAGGGTATTCTTGTCTTTTCACCAAGAGTTAGTATTGTAACCTAACCTAGAAGACTTCTTCATTTCATTCCCTACAATTCTTAGAAATTAGTTCCACCTTCTCTCTAGAAAAGAAGTGTAGCTTATTCTCCAAGCCAAGTTGAGACCCTTGTCAAGATTCCAAGATTTGCTTCCAAGATTCAACCTTTCACCTATTTGGGCATCTAGGAGGGTAAGATCTAAGTTCATCTTGTGTTTTTTGTTCCATCTTAGTTGTCTTTTTCTTAAAGGTACGATCTTTATGATCTTTTGGTTTAATCTTGAAGTGGGTTTGGAAAGTAAGCCTTGTGGGGAGCTTGTAGTGGTGTAAAGTGAAGTCTTTTGGTCTTCAAGAGGTAACCCATGCTCTACAAAACCTATTTTGCTTACCTATATGTGATTTCTTGGATTCTACATGTGTTTTGCTATGAAATGTGATATTGCATATCTAGAGCTTGTGTTTAGGGTTCCTTTGTGCAATTATTTGGCATTTTCCATGATTCAAGTCATTTTGTTGTGTTGGGTGAGATTTGGCATGTTTTGGACTTGAATTTGTGTTTGGAGAAGAAAATCCCCGAAGCGATTTGTTGTGGAACAGGAATGTTCCCGCGGGCGAAACGGCGGGCGGGGCAACACCCGCCGGCCTACCCGCGGGTACATAGCCCTGTGGGAATGTGTTTCCGCGGGCGGAACCACGGGTGGGGCACTACCCGTGGCTCCACCCGCGGGTACACGAGTGGAGTTGGATCGGGATTTGTTCCCCGTGATTCGTTTGCCTCTGTATTTGGTCTTTTGACTTCCCGTTGTTCTTTTGTGAAACTATTTGAGCGTCTTCTTGATGTTTCGTATGTCTAGAACTATATGGTTGGTATCCATGTAGGACTTTGGTGTCTTGAATCGTGCTAAGTGTTCAACATTGTGTTTCGTTGGACCGAGAGATGTCTTGTGTGTTCCTCGGAACTATCTTGAATTTCTCCGTTGTTAAGCATGCTAGTTTATTGTCTTCATGTTTATTGTCTTCATGCTAGCGTGTGTGTTGTTTGTACCTTCCGTTTGGTGGATGATAACTTGCGTTATTCATCGTTGTTGTCGTTGGGTTGTGACCCATTACTTGATTGTGTATGGTTTCATACCTTCGTTGTAATCCGTTGATTGACTCGTGTGAGTGGTGGTGCGTGTGTGGCTTTACCTGGATTGCACGATTAGTGGTATGGGACGCTAGTCACCAAGGTATTGCAGCGGTCCTCGTGGTGGCCGTGTGTGATTATGGAGATGTGTCCCTTCGAGTAAGGTTCACGTGATTGGGGGATAACATGTGTTATCCGGGCATGTATTTCGCCGTGTACGATACCTTGTGTACTATGAATTGGTGGTCTTGTTGGTGGTTTGTTGGTGGGGGACGACGGTCCCAGGAGGGAAAAGGTTGGACTAAGAAGTACACGGGTCCTGGAGGTAATGGTTGGCATGAAGGTACAAGGTTGGGGGTAGCCATAAGGTTGGAACAGGGCATAAGGAAGGCATATCAACTCGTGATGGGTGATGTCACGAGGGCTTGTGTAGCCGGTGTTGTGAGTTCTCTTTCTTGTGATGTGTGAAGTCACAAGGGCATGTGTTGCCATGGGTGAGTCTTATTCCTTTGTGTTGTGGTTAACCTTTGTGGTTTGGGATGTGTTCCCGTGTTATCCTTGTGAGTGATGAGTCTTGTGTTGACTGTTGATCTTGGCTTTTGACTTATATACTTATGTATTCCGTTTCGAAAATGGTTTTATGGCTTATATCTATCTATGTATGATACTTAACGGTATTGGTGGGTTACCAGCATTATTCGCTGACCGGGCGTCGTACCAATGTTTATCTTTGTATTTTTCAGGTAATGTTTAGACGAGCGCGATGTCTAGAGCCTGGTAGCTTAGCACCTTTATCCTTGCTTTTGTGGCATGTGCGCCAATGTAGTTAGACTGATGTTTTGGGATAGATGTATACACTTGCAGATTGTTTACCGTAGCGTTTACCGTGTTTGGTAGACGTGGCGTGACACCCCGTTGGATTTCTTTTATCCAGTTTCGTTTTATCTTCCACTGTGCTAGTTTTGTCGTTTAATCTGCATGTGTTAAGGCTTTTATATAGGTCTTGTTTGGGGGGGTGTTACAGTTGAAGCAACTACAAAATGAGAAAGAATTGCAAATATCAAAAATCCGAACGGATCATGGAACCGAGTTCGTGAGTGGATTTATACAAGCTTTTTGCAATTCACTTGGAATTTCTCATCAATTATCTGCCGCTAAAACACCACAACAAAACGGTGTTGTCGAAAGAAGAAACCAGACGCTTATTGCAGCCGGACGCTTATCAAATCACATGATTATTGCAGCCGGTCTCCCAAAAAGATATTGGGCGGAATCTATCAACACTGTCTGTTACACTCAAAATCGAAGCATGATCCACAAGCACTATAACAAGACGCCATATGAGCTTTATAAAGGGAGAAAACCAAATATTGGTTATTTTCATATTTTTGGATGCAAGTGCTTTATTCATATT